TCAGTGGGAATAATCTTGTAAAGTGGTTTTGAATCAACCCAATGATGATACTATAAGGAAGTATCTTCACCATTTCCAATTCTAATGATAATGCCCTTGAATAACAAATTTCTTCCTTTTAAAATCTCTCTCCACATTGGTGATTGAAAGGCATTTGGAAAATAGTCTTGCAGGTTTGATCTTCTAGCATATTTATCCTTATGGATCTTAACCTAAAGCTTATCAGGCTTAGTTATATAAATCCAACCCAACTTAGCCATAAAGGAAAGATTCCAAGCTTGTAAGGATCTTAAACCTAAACCCCCCATAGCTATATGAATGGTGACATTCTGCTATTAGGTTCTTAGAGTGTATCTAATGGAATCAGTCCTGTTCCAAAGAAAGTTTTTGCATTATTTCTCAATGTCATTCAAAATAGAAGTAGGAAAAAGAATATGCTGCATAACATGGGCAGGATAGGAACTTAGAACTGATTTGATTAAAGTGCATCTACCGGCTATGTTTAACAATTTAGCTTGCCAACCCTTAATTTTATCCAAAGTCTTAGAAACTAGCTCCCAGTAATCCCCTTTTTTAATTGTTAGGACTAATGTTGATTCCTAAGTACTTTCCAAAGGAGAAACTAGACTTGAAATTGCACAAGGTAGTAAGCTGAGGCCTAATATTATATTCCATTTTACTTGGAAAAATAATACTAAACTTAAGATCATTAACCTTTAGGCCAGAGAAAACCCCAAACTCATCAAGAATACTCATCATAGTGTTTAGGTTATGAACATTAGCAGTGCCAAAGAGAAACACATCATCTGCATAAAAAAGGTGTGAAAGGCTATAGTTTTTTGAGATTTTGAGAGGCATTCAACTACCCTTTCTTACAATGTCCTCAATTAGAAGAGAAAGTCTTTCCATACATAAGACAAAAAGATAAGAAGAGAGAGGATCCCCTTGCCTTATGCCCCTTGAAGGTTTAAAACTTTATGTGATTTCACCATTCCATAAAACAGAAATTTGAGTAAAAGAAACACAACCAAAACTATTGAGAGATTCAGAGATGAATGACCATTCTAGCCAATCATAAACTTTAGCTAACCAATTTTAAAGCCATCAAGTTCTTACCCATCCTACTCTTATGAAAAAGATGAGCAACCTCTTTAATGAGAATGATGTTATCTCCCATACATCTATCCTTAATGAAGCTGGATTGGAAAAGGACTAATGACACAGTGCAAAGCCTTGAAGAAATGATTTTGGTTACTAGCTTATAAATGGTATTGCAAAGTCTAATAGGCCTAAACTCAAACATGGAAATAGGATGATCTTTTTTTGAGATTAAAGAAATATAGGAATGATTGACATTATCAGGGATTTAAGAATCTGTAAAGATTTGGACAATAAATTCATGAATAGAATTCCCAATATCCTCCTAAAATTGTTGATAGAAAAGAGGTTGGATATCATCTGGGCTTAGGCTTTTGATAGGATCCATCCTAAATAGATTTAACTTAACTTCATCAATACTTGGAATAAAAGCAAGTAAATTCTGTTCTAAATCATTCAAAGCTACAATATGACTAGAAGACATGGAGGGTCCATTACTCAAAGTAGTACTAGTGAACAAGGAGATAAAATGATTTCTGGCTAACCCCTTAAGTAACATTTGATCATCAATCAAAGTGCCAGAAGAGTCATTTAAAGCAACTATTTTCCCTCTACTTTTCTTAACCTTAGCTAGAATGTGAAAATATTTAGTGTTATAATCCCCATACTTTCTCCAATTTATCCTGCTTTCTGAGCCCAGATCACTCTTTCCATTTTGTAAATGACATTCAATTCTTGAATAAGGCTATACTCCAAATTGACAAGAAAATAGGAGTATTTATTAGCTAATGATAGTTGAATGCCATTTATTCTAGCTAAAAGCACTTTTCTTCTTATTTAAATTCCCAAAAAATATTAGAATTCCAATGGGGGATATTTGATAGAAAATTGGACCTGCCAACTAGAAAATAGAGGGTCTGAGAACAATTTTTCCAATTTGAAATGAAAAAATCTTTGAAATTATCATGTTGTAACCAAACTTCCTTACATCTAAAGGGGAAAGGACCTTTAGTAGGTTCATCACACAAACTAATAAAGATAGGATTATGATCAGAATATGTTCTTACACGATTAGTAACCTTTACCTAAGGGAAGATTTCAACAAAGGCAGCATTAGCAATTGCACGATCAAGGCATTCTCTTAAGCGTATCCCAAGCCTTGCATTCTCCCAGGTGTAAGGATTTCCTCCCAAATCCATAAGACCTGCTTTATTAGTGAAATTATTGAAATCCCTACATTGGGAATCCTAAAAGCACGACCTCCCTGCTTCTCTGCTTGAGAAGTAACCTCATTCATATCCCCAACAACCATCCAAGGTGTAGTAAAGGGAGGAAGATGAGATTGCATGTCATTCTAAAATGCATGTCTCTCCCTTACAACACTTGGAGCATGCAAGCCTGTGATTATGGAACTTGAAGAGAAAGTGGAATTTATGCTCATCATCAGCGTAAAAGACCAAATCCAAGGTAGCTTTCCAAAAACACAAATCCCACCTTTCAAATCACGGGCAGGAATAACACTATCTTCATGAAACCCTAACTGCTTCTTAATGTCAGAACTTAGAAGCTTTACCAGCATCACATTTAGTTTCAAGCAGGATCAAAATATCAAGCTTATGAGTTCTAATTAAATCCCAAGCATGCGAGATGAAATCATCATTGTTCACTCCCCTAACATTCCAAACTATTAGCTTCATTTTTAAATTTGGAAGAGGTTTTTGAGGTAAAAAAACGTGGAATATCACCTGGTTGATGATTCTAGGGTAGAAAGAATTCCTCCTAGTCCCTCCAGTGAGCCCAATGCCCTAATTTGTGGACATCCTCCACCTTGATTGATGAGATGTAGCTCCTCAGAGCTACTAGAGAGCGAGGATCCTCCATGCACAACACTTGAGCTTGAATCCCTAAGATTTCCCTTTGAGTTTGATAAATTGCCATAAGGTGCCTTTGCTGAGCCATGTTTTGTCATTTTGTGGCGCATTGTAAGGGAATGATTGGTAAATTTTCGTGCATGCGTCTGAACCAAAGCAGCCTCTTGTGAAATGACCATTGGAGAGATATGTTCATTCTCGCATGATGAGGCATCTCCTCCTCCCTTCTCCTCAAGGCATCTAGGTAGACTTGTCAATTTTCGACTCGACTCGAACCTAACCCGTTTTTCTGGGTCTTGAACAAAGTTTTTTGACCCGTAACCCGATATAACCCAAACTCGTTTAACCCGTAAACTTGTGGGTCAAACCCGACCCGAACCCGAACCCAACCCGACAACCCAATTTTATGGGTTTTTTTTTTTTTAAATAAATACATTTATTTGAAAATTAATATTAGTTTATTGATTAAGTTTGATTGTTTGTCTACCATCGGACATTCATTTTAACTCTTTCTCATTTATCTATCTCATATAACTCTTGCAGTCTTGCTCAAATCCACACAAATCACCTCCTACACAAATTATCGACCCACACTAATTGCATCCGTATAATCCACATCACCGTAATACCACCGATATACAGGTCTATTGATATTATGTCAAGAGATATTATACTCCACATATATATAATTATATTGGTCTTTACCTTAAATTTTGGGATGTTTAAAAGTTTTATTTTTAGGTTTATTATCATTTTTTATTAGTTAGGAATTGATGAGCTTTGGTGAAATGGTGACGAGTTAAATTATGTAGTATGTAATGGCTAAAAATAATATGATGAAAATGTTCGATTAATTATAAAAAATTGGAGAAAAAAAATTAGCAAAGTAAGATTGAAAAAACAGAATTTTTTAATAAATAAGTCAAAAAAATTTAAAAATAGTTGTTCTAAACCCGTTGGGTTGACCCGAACCCGAAACTTTGGGTTAAAGTTGAGCATTTCTCGACCCGTGACCCGAAGCAACCCAACCCAAAGCAACCCAACCCGAACCCGACTCGACCGACCCGATTGACAGGTCTACATCCAGGGTTGCCATTGCTAATGTTGTCTATAAGGATGTTGTTGTGGGAATCCTTGTAGTTGTGCAAAGTGGTCTCGGAATCAGGGGGAAAAGGGCAAGAGTGGTTGGTTGGGGTGGTTGAACCCTGTATGTCCAATTTCTAGTCAATGCAGGGCCTTGGAACAGCAGGTAAGTTAGTGATTGTGGAGGTGAGGTTTGTGGTGGTGGAAGATTGAGGTTCATCATGGTTGGAGAGAGCTGGAATGGGTTCGCAGGAGGAGTTATGTTTGGTGGAAGAACTGGGATTAGATGATGTCGAGATGGAAGTGATTTCCATACTGGTGATGGTCGTGGTGGTTGAGACGAAGCTGGTTAGGTCATTGTCAAAGTTGAGGGAACTATCATTTTTTTGTTTTCCATTTTGATCAAGATTTTGATTTTTTGGTGAAGAAGATGAAAGGACGGAACTAGAAATAGCAGGAGAAGAAAAGAAAATAGGAGTTAAAGCAATAGTAAGTGTATTTAATTCCAGTGTAGGGTTTTCTTTATGGAAAAAGCTTAAGAAGAGGAAGTGTGTAAAATAGGCAAATCTTGAAATTAAATATCAATATCTTTCACAAGATTGTCTTCTGACACTTTATCCAAGTGTTGAGAAGAAGAAGTTAACTCTAGCTTATCAATTATACAACCAGAGCTCAAACTAGAGAGAGAATGAGAAGTACTGGCTAGATGTAGGTGGCAATAAATGATGAACAGTAGCATTTTGGAGCTATTCATCTCCCAAAATACCTTCATTAAAAACTTTCCATAAATGCCTTGAGCCCTGAGCATATTTAATGCTAGAGTTTATTTGTTTCTGAATTTGAACCTTTGAGTTCTGATTTTTATTCTTCCAATTTGGATTATTGGCGCTATTTTTTGGAACTGGGTTATACTTTGCCTTTTGATTTCTTGGATCATGTAACCAAAGTCTATGGGCCATACCCATCAGAATATTCATCAGGCTTTTCAACGTGGGCCCCTACATTCAATTTGGAAATATTTGCTTTAGGTTGTACTTGTTTTTCTAGAGAATGTTGTGTCACCATTGGATTTGTGGGCTCCATAGAAGGTGCCAAATCTTTTTGTGGGCCTGATCCATGCACTGTCTCAGTTGGATCAAATTTTGTCATTTGTTTGCAATCCTTTATAAGGTGCCCAATTTTGCCGCAAGAAAAACAAAGAGAATGAATATTCTCATATTGGACGTGTTGCCATCCACCGCCTACCCAAACTTTTGTAATGAGTGGATTAGCCATGTTAATCTCAATGCAAACTCTTGCATACCGTGCCCTTAAAAGCTTACCAGTTGCATAATCAACACGAATAGGTATGCCAACCTTTTTTGCAATTTGGAAAAAAGCTTCCTTATCATAATATTCAACTGGTAACTCAGGAAATCTAATCCAAACAGACATTACATCAAAATTTATGATGGAGGAACGAAAGTTAGGCTTCCATTTAAAAATAACTAGGTGGTGGTCAAGGATAAACCATGGCCCTCCATATAGAGCTCTTTCATAATCATCCAGAGTAGAAAAACGAAAGAGATATACGTTATTCCCTACATCAATTGTCTCCAATGAGCTCTTAACCTTCCACATGATTTTAGTACGTGAAGCCATAAAACTAGGCCTAATATTCAACCCTAAACATCTCCCCATTAGAGTGAGCTTCCATGGTTCATGAAGCCTTGAAAGCATTTGTAGGGTGAATTTCACAAAGAGATTTGAATTAGGTAACTCCTCCGGTTGTTCCTCCCAATCCAAAGTTGTGATTGCAATGTTTCGTGCTTCACTAAACCATTGTGAAGAATAAGCTACCGCCTCCCTAAAAGAAATAGGGGTTGGATTAATTCCCTTTGGACTCAAAGCAATAGATATTGGTGTCATTGATTGACAATCCTCCATTTGATCATCAACCATCTCATCATCGGTGTTTTTTGAAGTAGGATTTTTGGTGGAATTACCCTCTTCCATTGAAAGGAAGAGTTAAAAAGAAAGAAAAACAACTAATAAAATTAAACTAAAGCAAACTCTCAAGGTCCTCATACCCCGTGGTGTGAAGAAAACCCCTAATTATTCACAATAGCAACAAAATAAGTCGAGAGAGAAATTCTAGAGAGAGAAATGACCATATGTTGGACTAATTCTTTGATTAAATAGAAAGTTAGGTGATGGAAATCAATAATTTGAATTTTAATGATTAAGGAAAAATGTACACAGACATGATTTCAAAAAATTAACACTAACTCTAGGAATAAAAGTATGTAGTAAGATTATGATGAAATTGTGCTAGCTAGAGTGGATTGCTAGAGCGTAGAAATAAAGAAGGGAAAAATGATGAAATGTTGCTTAGGTTGCTACACGTCTTTTTTTTTTATATATATAGATATTGTGGGAGAAGAAAGTACATGCTAGTTTGAGTTATTTTTTTTACGTAAGGAGATAAATGATTATATAATTAATTTTTTTTACATTTCAAGGATGATTGAAGGAGGGTGAGAGCTCTACGTCATATTAAATTTTTATTTGTAATAACGAGTTATTGATTAATCATATCATCTCATATCATATCACTAATAAATAAAGCCGATCTCGCAGTCAGGCCACGAGACAACAACACTTGACATTTCATTTTTTTTTTGCCAAGTGTCGTGCCACGTAAGCGACAATTATACATAAACATGCCACATAAGATGTCATGTAAGGATAATTAGATAGATTTGTTTAGGATAAAAAAGTTATCTTGGAATTTTAATTTCGATAGACTTTTAATCTTTTTTTTAGTTTTAAATTCCTTTTTTAAATGTTAAAATATATGTAGATAAAATATTGACATCTATCTTGAATATCTAATTAACAATAATATTTTATTTCTATCAATATAGCACATAATTATAATTAGTATGAGTATTCAAATAAAAATAGAATTTCACTCTTATACGCATACTACACCACATAATTATAACTATAAATAAGGTCAAGTATCATTAATTTTTTAGCCTACCATCAAAGCTTTATCTTTAAATTCAATTTTAATAATTGTGTACGTTTATGGTTTTGTTTTTGGTTTCATCAATTTTGTTTATGCCGGCGGCTTATTCGTATATTGGGCTTATTAAAAAGTGTACGTTACGTAAATAGATAGTGTACATGTCCTTTCCTTTTACAGGTGTCCAAGTACTTCTCAATTCATAAACAATTTTTCAAGATAATTCGATACTAATAGCATAGATATGATACCAAAAACAATAAAATGCATTATTGACATGAAAAAATTATATTAGGCATCTCATCATAGAATCAATATCTAAACCAAAAATCATAGTTATCGTGCCAATCTTAAAATTATATACCCTGCCTTAGCTCCTCAATGTTTTCGGTTTCAATATAATCTAGAGTAGATAATTATTTTCATCCTAATCATATCATTATTGTTTTTTACAGCTTATTTGAGGAAGAATGGATGTAATAAACTAAAAAAGGTACTACTTAAATTAGTACTGCAATTAGTTTCTTTTTTGCTTTTTTTTTTTCTTCTAATGTTAACTCAAATTTCTCAAAAACTTTTGGTAAAAAAAAATAAATTAAAAATTCACAAAAACTATCTAGATTTTGGAATTAAGTGATTTAAAATATTTTAACTTAACAATTCAGAGGCATAGAACATCACATGAACAAGAATTTATCATTTGATCAAGGATTTAGAAATTAATAACGAGAGACAAGAATAGATTTTGAAAGTGAGGATCCAAAAAGGAACGTTGGTTTAAGTAGGTCAAGCTAATAGTGCCAAAGTCCAAATGTGACATTAAAATAATGGAGGCAGTAGTAATTTATTTAAAAGCAAGTAACAAAAGTTAATAACAATGGGTACCATAAAAAATTACGAAGCATGTATAAAAATAGGTACACGTACTCTTCAAAAAATAGAAATTCGGGGCAACGCCCGGCGTATATACTTGTAACTAATATATAAAGCTAAACTTTTAGTCAGACCACGAGACAACGACACTTGACGTTCCAACTTTTCGCCAAGTGTCGCGCCACGTTGGCAAGTTTATTTTTACACTTAGGATTTATTTGTATTTATATATTTTTTATTAATAAAAAAGTTGGGTAGATTTAGATAGAGTTTGTATGAAAATAAATTTGTTTAGAATTTTATTTTCAATAAATTTGGATATAATTTTAGAATAATATTGTTGATTTAGAATTTTATTTTCGATAAAATACCAATATTTCATATTTACAAATTAAATTATAATTCTATTCAATAAAATTATTCGATTATAAGTTTATAACGGTTAATAATTATCATATAAATTTATTTTTTACATCATAAATTTTTTTTTTGGAAAGAAGAAAATAGTTCAAAACATACAACATCCATCTATAACACATTCTAATGGATTGAAATACAATACTTCACAATCTTAATGATTTTAAACCTGTCTGTAAACCTATCAATCAGGTCGGGTCACGGGTCATTTCGGGTCAGGTCACGAGTCAAGAAATGTTCAACCCTAGCCTAAAGTTTTGGGTTTAGGTCAACTCAACGAGCTTAGAACAATTTTTTATTTAATTTATTTTTGGCTAATTTTTAAAAATTTCTAAAATTTCAAGATTTCTTTGGTATTTTTTTTTTTTTTTAATAATTTTTCAATCAAACATTTTCACCAATATTATTATCAGTCACTACGTGCCTACTACATAATTTAATTGTCGCAAATGTACATTAATAACTAATTTTGTATCAATGATATATTTTAAAATTTGGCACAAAAATGAAAATTTATCTTAAAATTTAATATATAACCCGGGCATCGCACGGGGTACAAAACTAGTTAATGATGATAGACTAATTATAAATAAAAATGCTTTTTGTAGTGTTTTTGTAATTCTGATGTATAACATATTAGCAAGTCCTCTTTAACACAATTGTAAGACTTTATTCTAAAAAGTATCCAACCAAATTGAACCAAAAAAAAACCCAATACCTAAAAATGCAGAATTGCAAAAAAATTGGAACAATTTTGGGTTATGTACAACATGATAGTAACAATTTTAATAATTTTTCACTCGCCACTTAAGCAAAAGTAATGAATGAGATTAAAAAAAATTTCCATGTGAGTAAGAACGACGATAGTGATTTATTAGGATTTTAATTATTTATGAAAACTAAAAATTATTATTTTTTGTCTTAAAGAACTAAAAACTATCTTTAGAAATTAGGGATTAAATTATTTTAAAAAGCTAATAATTATATTTTGATATTATGTTTTAAATTATTTAAAAGATATAAATTATTTTTTTGATATTAATGGTTTTATCTAAAAATCCAATAAATGAGATGATTTTTTCATAATAAATAAAACTTATAATGCAAGAAAAAAAATTCCTTCTGCGAAATTTATGTCAAAAAATTTAAATAGCAAAAGTTGTTAGAGAGTAAGAGATCACAAGAAATAAACAAAATGCATATAAAAAAATCGTGCATTGCACGCTGCATAAGCAAAAGTATTATTTCAATCAATGAAAAAAGCAACAGATAGTAATTTATGATTTAAATTTTGTCAAAAAAAAAAGATTTAAATTATTAAAAAAAAAATTATCTTTTATATAAGTATTTAAATTATTTTAAAACGAATTAGAAATTAAATTTACACGTGATAATATTTTCATAATTTATTTCATTTAATAAATTCAAGCTCTACATATGTAATTAATGAATAAGAATAACTTTAAAAACTTAAGAAAAAATGTTACCTTAAATTTATGTAAAAATTAGAACACAAAAAGAAATGTTAGATATTAAGGGATTACATAAAATATACAAAATGAAATATAAAAAGAATTTGTACAACGCACGGGATTATAATAATAATAATAACCATATTTTCAAAAAAAAAAAAAAAAATAATAACCAGCACTCTACTTTGCTCTAATATGTTCATAAACTTAAAATAACAGGGTGTTAGATAGCTAGATACTTTTTGAGGTTGGCAAATGATGATGGCAATATGGCATTATTCCTTCAAGCAAAATTGTCTTAGTTCTTATTTATTAAAGACATAGACAAACGTCTTTAAAAAAAAAAAGGAAAACAGACACAGACAAACAACAACTTTCTACAAAATTCTTTCAACTTAATACTTCGTATTAGTTTTTCTTGTTAAGAAATTTTAGTAATTCTATTTAATCAAAAAGATAAACCTTAGCCTTGAAGGTAAACAAGTAACCCTAAACCCGATTCATATATGTCATCCATTCATATAAAACGGTAAACCCGAAAAGAAGCCCAAGGCCCAACGGCATGACCGCCATCCTTCTTCCTCAATGCCAGCACTATAAATTCACCTCTAACGTTAACCCTATTTCACTTCTGTCTCTCTTTCAAATCTCTCTCTCAATTCACAACTGCGGCTAGGGTTTACGAATCTTCTCTCAGGTCTATTTCCTCTCTACTCTCTTTCAACTTCTCCTTAATTTGCAGAAAACTTAATCTCTGTTCTTATAGATTCATGTTCTTCATTGATTGATTCATTGTTTTTCCTCGATTTTTAATCATGTTTGACCTCTATTTTTTATTAAGAAGTTGTTAATTAGTGATGAAATTGCTCGTTTTCAATCTTAATACATGTTTAACTTGATTTTCTGTGTTAGAAAATTTTTGTTTGATGCTGAATTGTTGTTGTGTTTGTTGATTCGTTGATTTTCTTATGAAGTATTGATATGTTGAGTTGCATGTATTGTAGTATGAGATTGTGTAGATCAATGCATTGAAGATGATATTCATAAGGCTAAGTTCCTCTGTAAATCGATGATTTAACAGAGTATTATGATCCGGTTGCTCCGATTAGTGAATGTGTTTTTGGAATATTGGTTTTGATGAGTTCGTATTAAATTGATATTGTTATTTGTATATTTTGATAAAATTACTTGCATATTTAATGAAATTTACATTTCTTCACATT